CATCCTCCGAATAACTTGCAGATAGAACCTTCTCAGAATTTTTTCAACTTAGTAGTTTGACATAGTTCATTATTTTATTGCTTAAATTCTTGTCTAGTGTTTGTATAAATGGTCATCCTGCAAAAGATTTTGAATTCCAAATTATGAATATAATCCTTAGATTTCAATATTTTCCTATCGAAGGCTTATGTCGAATTAGTATTGCTCCTTCTCGGAAAATCTCCTTACAGCAATCTCCAAGTGCAGTTTTCATCCACCGCGAAGAATCTGCTTTGTAGCATCTAAAAGATCTTGACAAGAACTAGAAGAAGCATATACGTAAGAACCGCTATGAAAACCTTTTTTTTATAAGAAACCAGGAAAAGACTTCTGAATATTTATTTGTGGAAAGAAAATTCTCGAAAGTTTTACCGAATTCCCTTCAAAGACGAATGTCTCCTTCATAGTTCTTTTCTCCGCGAAAGAGAAAGATCTCTTCAATAACGATGATTCCTTTTCTTTTTCGTTCATTGTAGGAATTCCTAATATCTCAGTGAATGCTCTATGGGCACAGAATGGAGTGACCGTTGCTGGAGGCCATGGACATGGCAATGCTACCAATCAACTCGACAATCCTCTTGGTCTCTTTATTGATGATGATCAAACGATGATCATCGCTCCCATGTGGCATGGTCGTATCGTCCAATGGAAGATGGATGACACGAATGGACAAGTAGTAGCTGGTGGCAATGGCCAAGGAAATCGATTGGATCAATTGGATGGTCCAACCGATGTGTTGATCGACAAAGCGATGGATAGTCTCATTATTTGCGATAAAGAGAATCGACGAGTCGTACGATGGCCTCGTCGTAGTGGCACAGCTCATGGTGAAGTTCTTGTCCACGATGTTAAATGTTGGGGATTGGCCATGGATGATCAGAGATATCTCTACATCTCTGACGATGTAAAACATGAAGTAAGACGATATCAAATAGCAGACAAGAATGGAACTATTGTGGCTGGTGGCAATGGTAGAGGTACTGATCTCAATCAACTCAACAGCCCGACCTACGTCTTTGTCGATCAACAACAGACTGTCTACGTGTCAGACCGTGACAATGATCGTGTGATGAAATGGAATAAAGGTGCAAAAGAAGGAATTGTCGTCGCTGGAGGTCAAGAGGAAGGGAATGCACTGACAGAATTGTCAGGTCCTGAAGGACTATTCGTTGATACATTGGGTACCATCTATGTGGCAGACTCGGAGAATCAACGAGTGATGCGTTGGCCTACAGGAGCGAAACAGGGCACTGTCATTGTGGGTGGAAATCGTCATGGAGCAGGAGCAAATCAGTTGGCGTCTCCCAAAGGTTTGTCATTCGATCGATATGGTAATCTCTATGTCGCCGATATGGTGAATCATCGTGTTCAACGTTTTTCTATTGAATAAACTGATTACGATGGATTTTTTTTCTTTCCTTTCTCTCAAATAAATCACTTTGAATTGATGAAAGGAATGGGTATTCTACTCGCACATGCGACCAGAAATCATCCTGGTGGAGTTGTGGCGAGCGTAGCACTCATGTACGTACGAGACAAACTCAAATAATTCACATCCCTCCTGTCAATGAGTCTGAAAAAAGCTCGGTCGTGTGCCGCGGATACCAAGATAGTTCCTAGTCGAATTTTTAGGGCCTAATTGGAAGGCCTATCAATAACAGGGATCAAACCTTGATGGACATGACTCATCTGCCCTTCCACTAACACTCATTTTGCTTAGTCTCACTCTAACACCAATCAATCTCAATGTCATTATCTATTCTCATCCCCTCCCTATTCTGATCTTAAAAAAACCAATTACTCACCGTGTTTGATGTTGGGCGATGTTAATGTTGTTGTTGATAAAGACGCGAAGATATTGAAGGCTACAAGAAAAAGAAAATTAATTGATGCTATATAATGCAACAGAATGAAATAACGTACTCCGCTATTGTATTTTTGTTCACTTCTCAATATCTGAACTAGAAAAAAGACATGCATTAAAAAGATCAAAAGAGGACTTACGGCTATCCTTATGTTCTGAAAGAAAGAAAATTTAAAACGTATACCTACATTTTTATTTATTCATTTGTTTTGATTTGCTTGATTGTATCATTTATATCGATCTAAAACATAAAACAAAATTACTATTATATAATTCAAAAACTTGTATGATTTCTTTGAAGGAAATCATTTATATTTCTACTCCATGATGGATTAGGAGACAAATTACTTTTTTTTTCTCTTCATTGAAAAGTAATTAATAGATGAATCTCATTAAGCTATAATCGGGACACACACATACATTGAGATATACGTATTCAATCACAAACATCTTAATGCATATGTATGGATAAAGCTTAATTGATATACACATTCATTATGAAATGTTATCAATGATCATCGGTGATAACATGAGCGATGACTTATGGACAGACGACGCTGAATTGATCTCGGTTTTTCTTCGAGTTCAAATTAAGAGGAAATGATCTCGGCTGAATGTATTAAACAGAAAATGGAAGTATAGTATCCTAGTTTATGTGTTTACTAA